GGTTTGGCCTGGTGCTACCAGGCCTTCCTTGCTGATTTCTTATCCAAAATGTAGGATTTGTGTGTGGTGTGCATAGTCTCCACTAGCCGGTCTATTTTATGGTCACTCTCATTGAACCAGTCTTGGTGTTTCTGCCTTACAAAGCCAAGAACCTTGGATGTGACATATCTGAGCTTCTGCCTGGTTGCATCAATGTCTGTGGGAGTTCTCTGGGAACTCAGCTAACGCAGTCTCCGGTGTCTGTTCCAACTTTGCTTGTTTCCTGGGGTATTTCATGGCAGCTCATTGATCTTCTTTGGTGGTTTGTGGTGTCTTCTAGGGCACTCTGAGAAGTGTATCAACATGCTTCTCACAAGCTGATGGTCTGACCAGCATTCGGCTCTTCTCACAGCGTGGGTGATACGCACATCTTTAATGTCTTTAAACCGTACAATTATGTAATCCATCATGTGCCTGTTTTGATCTGGGATGCATCCATATTGTCTTGGCATGTTGGAAGACTGTGTTGGTAATGGTGAGATTGAGCTCGGCACACTTGGAGAGGAGTAGTTGGCTGCTGGAGTTTGACCTTCCAATGCTGTGATGGCCTAGCACTCTATTCCCCATGTCAGAACTGGCTCCCACACGAGCATTAAAGTCTCCAAAAAGGCCTGCTCTGTCACCTCAGGCGGATATGAGCTCCATATCTGCCCTAGTCTGTGGAGAACGACCATCGCCGTAAGGCCACCTGTGTGCAGAGTTGTGATTAAGGACTGCCAGCAGCATCCTCTGCCTGTCCCCATCACCACAGCATTTGGATAAGTTGATTACATTGAATGAGTTTGGCTGAACAACCAGCACTATGAATGGGTTTAAGTAAGAGAGGCTTGCGCAGAGCCTTTCCCACGCTCTCACCCAAGCAGCTGTTGCTGCGCTTGTGCAATAAATGCCACAAGCATGGCAGCTGTCATGCGTGCAAGATTTGTATTCGGAGTGGTCTTTCTCCTAGGTGAGCTGCCGAGCTGAGCTGAAAAGCCTCATCTACCATAAGCATAGTGATTGGCCAATGACTTATACCACACTAGTTGCCCTTATATGCCATCACAAGGTATGTGCTTCATTGACCTGAGTATTATAATCCCTGACGCTTAATAAAATCTATGGATGAAAAGTAAGTCTCAGCTCCATTTTACAGATGGGGAAAATGAGGTACAGAAGTGAAGTGACTTGCCCCAGGTCACAGCCAGTGGCAGAGCCAGGAATAGAATCTAGGTCTTTTGACTTCCGATCCCACTCTGCCTCCGTGCATATTCCTCTTGGGCCTTGTTTGCAGACCTATAATCTCAAAGGTCAGTGCCACTGAAATTTGCCCATTAAAAAGAAATGTAGGATTCAGATATCTGGAGGTCAATGCTAGTGTTTCCATGGCTTGGATTAATATGATGCACAACAGCACGTTGCCTTTATAGCCCCATTCTTCTCTGGTTCTCAACTGTTGTACAATTAGTCATGGTACCTGACCAGGAGATGGTGCTGTTCCTTTGACTTTCCTTTTCTAGGAAACAAAATACAACAAACACATCTTCCCTGGGTGAGACTCAAAACAAAGAAATGCCCTTTATATCCTATCCTAATCACCTATTTACTGGTACCAACTATCATGTGATCCTGCCATGGTATTCTAACTAAATCAAGGCTTTGTGTTCTGATCTCTGATCCCTCAGTTCTAGGGAGAAACACTAAACACCTGAAGTTGTTGCAAGTCAGCCAACAAGTCAAATACAAGTAGGGCATCTTGGAATAATAGATTTTGCTCTCTTGCCACATCCCACTCAAATGAGTTTCATCTGGGCTCTTTTTGACACCTTCCCACAGTACTACTCAGGTGATATGCAATGCCTGTTAGGCAGTTGTAGAAATGTCAGATATTTGTCCTTATATTTTTCAAACATGAAATCCAAATGAATGCATGGAAAAATAGCATCTGTGGAGGGGATGAGACTGATATAAAATTAAGCTCTTCTCTTGCCTGCAGTCCCCCTCTCATTTGCTAGGGAGCATGGAATGAGAACAAAATGAGTCAGAAACTTCTGATTTTTAATCTGTTTGCTTTGGGCAAAGCAAAGTCACTTAACCTGTCTTCTACATATCTGCAAAAGTGAGATAAGCTACCTCGCTTCCGCATAGTTATGAGGCATAGTCACTGTAAAGCTTTCAAGATGGTGAGTGTTATACAGTTGGGTTAGGAACTTTCTCCTTTACAGATATTCTGATTAAGGGAAGGCGCAAACTCCATACCTGCCTTGGGCTGAAGGGGGAGCTTTTATCTCTTTGATTCCAGTGGTGGTTTCTGAATGGTCTTACTTTCCCCATGACCCCTGCCATGGAGTTGGAGCTTAATTTGTTACAAAGCTGCTCTTTACCATCAAAAAGCACTTAAAGTTTCATGTGTGGGGGTGGAGCTGCACTTTTCAAACAGCAGCATCGCACTGTGGGAGCTGGGGTTTGGTCTCCTTGCTAGGATTCTGAGACTGCGTATGTGTGTGGCCATGGTCAGGGCCGGCTCTGGCTTTTT